ACGCAACCGTAGAATTTCTCCCTCGATATTGTGTGAAGCTTCAAGCATCGTGTTATTTCAGCACCACAGAAGAATCTAAAATAAGGAAATTATTTGAGGCAAAAAAGCATTTCCATAATTCCACGTGTCTGGAAAATGCTTGCAGGGAGTGGAACTTATATGTCTCTCAGAGAAGCCGTTAAACGAAAGAACAAAACGTCGCTTACGGATGGTTTGTTTTATATTACAGTGTGCTTCAATTGGCACCGCTTGATCATCACTAATTTTTGCGTAATATTTTATGAGAATGTCTTCTTCTATTGGGCAGTTGTAATGGACACCTTTCCTTGTAGAAACTGTATTGAAGACAATGGTGTTTGTTTGAATCTCCGACCGCCTCGTGTCCGCTTGCCTAGCACTTTTAGCTACCCACTGTTTTCAGTTAGTAAAGACCAACAGTTTTATAATTTTGCATGATGCGGCATACAGGATCTGAAATGTGACTGCGTTTCCATTATTTTCTGTCTTACAGTGTCTGCAAAAGTCTAAGCTTGAAATCCCGAAACTCGAGGTCGAGATTTAGTCTTTTGAGGATTTCCCGTGGAGTGCAGTCAGCTGTTATAATACATGCTATACAGAGCATCAACTAGAAGATATGCAGTGCTATACGTGCACAGCTGATGCTCGGGTTATTGAATTGAGAGTATAAAGTTAGCTAATTCAATGATTTACCATCTGAAGGTGAAGACGAATGATCCGATTCCCTTGTGTCCTCATTTGCAAATGGGGCTCTGCAAGAATGTGCAAACACCAGCTGAATCAAAAGCTGGTTTTGCACGCACGTATCACTTGACGTATCCGAGCGGTGAGCATCCTTAGTAAGTAACAGTAGAGCGATTAACCTTTGAAGATACTCAGAGAACAGCTTTGTTAATACAGAGACAGAGTTGATGCGGCCAAGGCGCTTCATCTATTCCTTCCAGTGATCGTCCCATTCGTTAATAGCCTTTTTTGTTGTCATTCCCGATAGGACACTTGAAATTTAGAGGTGATTTCCCATTTCCTTTCATATTGATGACTGACAGTAAGCGAAGTAGCGCTGGACATATGCAACTTTCAAGGTTATCGTACTTCAAATGAAAGTAGTAACAGACATGCCAGAGGCCACAGCGTGACCATGCAGAGACCTCAAACCTCAAACTTTATTTTCAAACCTTAAACTCTATTTTCAAATCTTCACGGGATTAAACGCTCAGTGTAATCGGCCCGTTTCATGGGTGTTTGGATGCGAGGTCACATATTTTACACAGTTAGCTCGACTGTGAGTGTTAGATCTGTTAACTCCAAACAAAATTTTTCGGTCCAGGTTTAAATCCTTTTTGAAAATAAAAGATAATGCAGGCGAAAGTGTCAGGTTTTTTATTTCCTTCAAAAAAATATGTCCAAATTCAGTTGGGAATCTTTATTTTTTTGATATTCCATGACTAAAAAACTGGCTATTTACAGAAAGCAAGAGCGCAGAAGGTGAAATTAACGGATGATGAAATGCATGATTTCACAAAGAAAATAGGAACACTTGAAGATGCATACTCAAATGACGTGGAATTTTTTCACAGTAACGAAGATCAGCTCCGCCATCCACCAGGCTTGCCGGTACGATCATGTTTTTTTACACGATTTCGAGTTGTAGTGAGACCGCTTGAGCTCGATCACATTATCGCCATATCCTCAGAATAATTTAACTTCCAAACTCAACTGGCTTTCAAAATCACGTTCCACCAAAATGACATGCCGTGCACGCGGTACAGGTGTGCACGACTCAACGGACTCATACACTGACAGTAAATATTTTAAAAAAATACCCAGACTGGGACGCAACAGGCTGGCCCGTGCGATCATGCGTTTTTGCATCGGACTTGAATTACCCAGGTCATTAACTGTATGAATGGCTGTTGCTTTACACCTACCTTTTGCTGTCACCAGCATAAATCACCATAAATTTTGCAAAGTAAATGTATGATTTCCATTTAATAGTCGTTCTTTGGAAGTAACCCTGTTGTCCAGTGAGAAATTCGTCAAGACATTTAAGTGACCGCACGTAAGAACAACTCATACGTCAAGGCTGAATTTGAAACACTTAAGTTGTACTTGGACAGGGAACATTCCCTCAAAATTTCAGCTTTCCAGCTTCTTTGGTTACCAAGTTAGCAAATTCCCCGCCAAAACCTTCGCATACCCCTACTTGGGCACTCCACGTGCCTGGAAAACTGAATTTTACAATTTTAAATTGCACGTGGACAGGGAACACCCGCCTAAAATTTTAGCCTTTCAGTTCGTCTGGTTGCCGAGTTTTCAACTTTCCTGCAGAAACTTTCGCATGCCCTTACGTGAGTACCATGCACAGCTTATTGAAATATTTGAGATGTACTTGGATAGAAAACATTCCTTCAAAATTTCAGCTTTCTTGCTTTCCTGATACCCGAGTTAGCAATTCCCCCTCTAAAACTTTCATACGCCCTGAGTACCGCGCATAACTGAAAGCTGAATTTGAAATTTTTAGCTAGTACATGCACAGGGAATATCCCGACAAAGTTTCGGCCCCTCAGCTCATGTAGTTTCCGAGATCGCTTTCTCGCCAAAAAATTTTCATATTTCTTTAAAGCGTCCGTACACGGCACCCAGGTGTCCGAGGGGGATGAAATTAAAACGGGAGGTCGCGCATGGTATAGGCACATACTCCCCAAGTTTCTGCCTTCTAGCTTTTCCGGTTCTGGAGTTGAAAGTGGATGACA